GCGGGGGTCTGCCCTCCACACTACCTCCCGTTGCCTCTGCAGCCCAGCGCCAGCCTCCCGCGGGGCCTGGGGGCTTGTCCCCCACCCCCACCCCCACCAGTCCCAGTTCACCGCCTCCTGTCAACCTGCGACAGTCTCCTTCCCTCCTGCAAACCTCCCTCCCCGACTGCCTCACCTCTGCGCACCAAAAGGAGTGTTTCTCAAAAGTGGGTCAAGCGTCCAGAAGTCGAGTGGTTGGGAAAATCCTCCGTCCCCCTCTTGGAAGCCCGCTGCCCATCCAAACGGCCGGGGCTTGGAGACGGCATGGAGCCAGGACGTAACGATCCACCTGCCCTGCCCACCCCACTTGCCGGGAGCCCTGGGGTTCTGAACATGGGGTGTGGTGCCCACAGGCCCGGCCTAGGAGCTCCATATGATGAAGCGGGTGTGTCCCCAGTGGGACGGCTGGGGCTTGGCCTAACCTGTGCAGACGCCATTCTGTCGGATGAAGCCCGCGGGGCACCAGGCCCGGCCCAGGCTGCTCGGCGCCCCGGAGCCCCGCCGGAGGGAGACCCAAGCGTAGTAGGAGCTCCTGGGGAGCGGGGCACGGGGCCGCAGCCAAGGCACTAAGGGGCCCCTGTGGCTGACAGTGGTCACATTTTGTTCACTCTGCTCTAGCGGGATGCAGGTCTTGCCATCACGAAGGAGGGTCTGGCCCGGGGGGCACAGACAACGGTAACCACCCTGGAGGTTTTGGCACTGGAAGGCGCAGGTCTTGGCTGGCTGCAGGCACTCGTTGACATCTGGAAAGGAACAAGGCCAGGCAGGGTGCCAAGGGTGGCTCAGAGGGCTCGCCATGGCCACTCCACCTGACTATAGCCATCTCTCCTGGTCTCCAGCCTTCCCCAGAATCCAGGGGCCTCCCCCCACCGCATCCCGGCCTGCCCGCAAGCCTTCCCCCTCCTCCACCGCCTCCAGCCTCTGTTGCTCAAGGAGGCCCCACCCTCCCCCAGCTCCGGGCCTCATCCCAGACGCCAGGGTTCTTCAGCATCCTGGGGAGGCCCATTCTCCCTGCTCAGCCTCTCGGAGACCCACCCACTTCTGCCCACCCTCCCCCTCCTCCTGGGCTCCCAGGGGAGGTGACCTTGCCGGGTAGGGGGTGAGGTTCGGGGCCAGACAGCAGCAAAGCACGGATCCGGGCACGTGGGGGCCGCACCGGCAGCCTTAGCTCTGGTCACAGAACTCAACAACACCCTTGTCAGAAACACTCCCTGCCTGCGTGCCAGGCGGGTCTGACCCAGGCTCCCACGGCGGCTGAGTGTCCCGGTTACCTAGGCATGGCAGGCCGGGGCTCTGGATCCGGTACCCCCGGGGACAGCTGCAGTGGTGCCCGCCTGGGGTGTTCTCACAGATCTGGTTGTAGTGACACTCATCCAACTGCTCCAGACACTCGTCGACATCTGCGGAGGCAGGGGTGTGGACAGAGGTGGGGCCGAGCCCCTTCCCCTGCTCCCGGCCGCCAGGCGTGCCTCTCCACATGTGGGCCTAACCCCCCCCCCCCAACCTCAGTGCCACCAGGTGGAATGCCAGTGTTTGCAACCACCTCTCCCAATCAGACCAGCTTTGGAGAGTGAGAGAAGGTTCTGGGTCCAGAAACAAAGCAGGGGCTTAAAAGCTGGGCTTTGGAGGCAGAGTCCCGGGTTGGGGCGGAGCTCTGCCTTATCTCTGGGTCCTTGAGTAAGTAACTCTCCCTCTCCCAGCCTTGGTTTTCTTATCTACGAAGAGGGGTGAGGACGGGACCTCTTCAGGAAAAACCTGGATCACGCTCGAGAAGGCCGGAGGAGCCTGGTTCGGGGAAAGAGCTCTGAGAGCTGCTGAGAAAGAAGGAAGTGAGGGCGGGAGGGAGGCAGGAAGCAGAGGAACCGTCTGGGTGGACAGGGTGCTCCGTGGGCCCTGAAGCCGCAGAGCTGGGGTCACCTCCTCTCCTGAGTTCCAGTTCCCCCCGTACTTCGCCCCTGCACTGGGTGGTCCCGTCCCTCTCAGAGGAGCCAGAGGACCCGTGATCAGGAAGCTCTAGAACGCTGGAGCAGGAAGGTCACCCATGCAGGGCGGCTCCTGAGTTTCATCTCAAAGGCTAATTGCAGCTGATTCCTAGTGGCTGCTGGAGAAGCTGTGTTGAGAAGGATCCAGAGGCCATCTTTAGGCCAGGCCATGATCCAGGAGGGGATCTCGGGCAAGGGGCAACAGACGTAGCATGTTTGCCATGCCTGACCTGGTCAGCTCAAACTTTCTCCCCGGCCTCACTGCTCCTTCCGCGGACAGAGTTCTGCTTTCCCCAGAGGCCCAGGGGCACACAGCACCTCCTCTGCTGGAGCCTGGGACCACTGGAGTACGGACAGCCCCACACCCTGCCCCTGTCACCTTCGCAGCTGGCCCCATGAGGGGCCACCCGGAAGCCAGGCCTGCAGTCGGGGAGGCAGTGGTAGGACCCAAAGAGGTTCACGCAGCGCTGTCCCTCCTGGCAAAGGTGGGCATCCCAGGCACACTCGTCCACATCTGGGGGGCAAATGGGGGCAGGGGGCTGCGTGAACACATGTCCCCCCAGGCCCACTCTGGCCAATCTAACGACGCAGGCTTCTTCCCCAGGCCCGGGCTCCCCTGGCAAGAAGGCCCCACCCCTCCTGCTCACTCTTTCCATCATCTTGCCCCAAGGGACCCACAGGCCTGGGTGTGGGGCCTCTGATATGGGGTTGCAGACGATGCCCCATGGGCACCAGGGTCAAAGTGCAGTGGAGACTCGGCAGGGCCAGGTCTCGCTGCTGGGAGTGGAGGCATGTAGCTGGGGAGGGTCAGCATCTAGGTGTCCTACGGTCAGATTTGTTGTCCAGAAACTTTGTGAAGGGGCCAAGTAGAGCAAGTGGGGCAGATGGGTGTCCACTTGCTTCCAACCCCAGTCGGCTGGGAGTGACCGAGGAGTGGTGGGAAAGCGCCCGAGGCCGTGTCCGGGCTCAGCAGGTGCGCACGCCATGAGCACGGGGTGGCCAAGTGTATGTCTCTGGGGCTCCCTAGCACCCCCAGCACTTGAGCCTCTCCCATCTGCAGCCCGCAGAGCAGGAAATTCCCAATGGAAACAGGGGGTTGCCACCCCCAGCCTGGCATCCAATGCCGCCAGGAGCAGGCCATGTCCTGAGGTGTGTGCCCCTGGCTGGGGTCCTGGCTCCGGAACGCCCCGCACACACCCAGGCCAACTAACTCCAAGGAGAGCTTCTGGCCGTGGGCCCACTCACCTCTGCAGTTCCTGTCATCCCTGGCCAGGGCAAAGCCCGCCGGACAGGAGCAGGAGAAGCGACCAGGTGCATTGTGGCAGGAGTGAGAACAGGGGTTGGGGCCGTCCAAACATTCGTCCCTGTCTGGGTGGGGGGAGGCGGGCAGAGCTCTGGTGGTCTGTGCTCACAAGGCCTCCTGTCAGCTGGCCAGGACACGTCGTCCCAGGCTGGGAGGCGTCCCTCGTCCGGACCAAGGGAGGGAAAGGCACTCACCCACACAAAACTCTCCCTGGGCATCCAGCTCAAAGCCCGCTGGGCAGCCGACTTCATTCTCTTCTGCAAGCCAAAGGGACAGGTCGTAAGGATGCCAGGGCACTGCGGCCAAGGAGCCCCGGGACAGACAGCAGCCCTGGCCGTAGCTCTCTCCTGACAGCTTGGCCAGGCCGATGCCCCCTCAGCCCGGAGCCAGGCTGACGCCCAGCCCGTCTGAGAGCTCACTCCCACCCAGCCCAGGCCTGCTGGAGGCGTTGGCTGTGGGTCATGCCACGGAGGGCTCACAGTGGGCCGGCCAGACGTAAGCTGGCAGACACAGGAGAGATCGTTACCGAAAAGTACAAAACAGGCTGTCCATGCACGCAAACACGCACTCCTGAGAATCCAGAGGAGTGGACGTGGCCCTGGGCTGCGGGTGGGAGAGGGGATGTACAGAATGGGTAAATGATAGCATCTGATGGCGGCAGCAAGCACAGGGGTTGGCGCAGACTGTGGTCTGGAGGTAGGATCCCACAAAGAGAGGCCCCACCTACATGTAGGGCTCCTCAAAATCCTGGAGGAGGAGGAGGAGGAGGAGGAGAGGGGGAGGGGAGAGGAAGAGGGG